CACACACACACACTGAATTTGTACCAGAATCAAACTACTGACAAGGGAAGGGAGAGGGCCCATGGAAATGTGCAAAAACCCTAACAGAGCACAGAGCACCCAGCCTGTAGCTACCCGCTTCTGTCACCAGCAGTGTCATCTCTCTTTAGATCACAAGAGATGTGGGTCTCCCTTCTCTGGGAAACCTCCATCTTCTCCAGGGAAGGGATTTCCGCAGCAGCTACTGCAGCGGATGCCATCTGCTCAGGAAGCCTGCGCCGGCATGGTGCTGTGGCTCTCCTCTCTGCCCAGTGGCCTCTCATCTGTTCTCTGGGCTACGCAAGCTTGGAGTGGACACTTCTGATTGAAATGCAAATATTTCCGAAGTGCGCATGGCAGTTGGCTTGGCTTCCCGACCTCTTACCCTCTGCCTCCCCCCCCCCCCAGATGTGATGGTCTAATTACAGTACAGCTTGAAATGGTCTTACAGGTCCCGTCCCCGGCCTCCCATTTCCCGTCTTTCACTGCCCAAACTGACTTTCTGGCATCGCTTCCTCACAGACTTGATCAAACAGAGCCATAGCTCTCACCAACCAACCCATACTGGGGTCTAGGGACCTGCAGTTTAGCTAAGGGACATTGGCAGATGGCTCAAGAATGGCCATATCCCAACAGAAGGAAAATCTGCCTGGGGCACATCTGCCTAGTGAAATGTTAGCATCCAGAGGGGGTCTCAGAGAGCTCTTGGTCACAGTGTGGTCAAGTGACCTGCCCAGGGGTTCACCTAGATACATATAGCCCATGGGGCTAAAAACCCAGTGGTCTGAGGGCCAACAGGAAGAGGGCATCCCTTGGGAAGAGGGCTGCTATAGAGGAGAGGTACATCACAGGGTTACAGAGAAGGTAGACAAGGCCCTACCCTGAGTGAGAGACAGAGGGGGAGCGTCCGATCAGCGGCCGCTGCTGTTCACCAGGCCGTGAAACTCCTCCCAGGCCCTGGCAAACCAGAGACAAAAACACAATAGCACATTCAGATGAGATGCTGTGAGCAGAGCAGACACGCCACCCCACCTCCCACGCTGAGGGCCTTCAGGCTAAGAGGAGCCACAGGGAGCTGGGTGCAGAGCAGCGAGGTGCCAGCAGGCTTGACTCAGATGGGCAGTGGGCACTTCAGCCTTCCTCTACTGGGCAAGTGCGTCCCGCACTACTAACTTGATGATCTGTCAGGGCTTCTTCTACAAGGCTACAGGGGAGGCCACTGAGGCTGGGGCTAAAGCTTAGCCAAAACCAGAACACCTCTGCCGCCACACTTCCTGCCTTTTCTGCTTCAGGCCCCTGGAAGCATGTGGAAACCACCTTCCTTCATCAGTTCTCACCAAATACCTACCAGAATTATGATGTCTAAAGATGCGAGGTATGCCATTCTCTCTGCTTTCATATTTCCAATCTCTAACCCTGCTCAGACCTTAAATATGCAATTCCAATTATTTGTCAAATGTCCATCACCATCATCCTAAAATCTAGGCTGTGTACATCATGGGAGTTCAAAATCTCCAGGGAGAAATGCCTGTCACAGCCTTCGTGCTGGTTGGTGTACTGGGCTTGGGGACAAGCACTGTGACTGAAGGGCCACTGGTAACTGCTGGATGCGCACAGAAACCGACCCACTAGGGCTCTACGAGCTCCTTCCACACCTTGTATTTCCTCAGAAAAGCTGATTTCCTACCTTTTTGTTGTAGTTACTCTTCAGCCTCAAAACATTAAGTTTCTTGGGAAACTTAACTTAGATATAAAACCTGGTGCTTCTAAATCTGAAGTTCTTGCTATGAGTTGTTTCATTCTTGGTTTAACTTGGAGATCGAGTACCCAGGGTGGACCGCATGCCTTGTCACTCACTACACATTGGATGACCACTAAAATATACTCCGTGACCAGACCTTCTTCAGGTACCTTTGTTTTTCACAAGGAAGGGGTTTAGATACAGCTTATTAGTAGAGGTACTTGCCTAGCATGTGCAATGCCCTAGGTTCAATTCTCAGCAGACCCCCAAAAAAACTTTACAAGGGGGGGATTAATAAGGAGACTTAGTATACTTCATGATGACATGTGTATACCAGTCTCATCAGTAGGCCCTCTCTTTCGAAAAGCAGCATTTAACTTAAGGAAAAGGGTAAGACTGTTGAAGAAGCATTGCCCATCTGTTAGCTTCTGAGCTCAATTTCCACAGCAGGTTGTGTTTCACAGCCCTTTCTGGAGAGATGGTGACGAGGCACACGGAATCCACGCGGGGAGCTGAAAGGCAATTTCACTCTTCACTCCATATGATGACAAACGGAGCCCCACTGCTGGGCAGCGGGACTAGGGAAACTCCTCGTTCTAACAGTGTCAACAGGTGTCAATAAGAAATGATACAGCTGTGATGAAGCTTCATCTCATTTTCCCTTTTGTTTCCCTAGCCTAAACAGCAGTTGTGGGCCAAGAGCCTCACGAAGCAAAGCTCCAGAGCTACCTGGAATCCCATCTAGCTCAAAGTGCCCTTCTGGTTCCTTGAGAAACCTCTTCAAGCGAAGGCTCTGGGTTTAGGATTTCTTTGCCTGGGTTCAGGGGGATGAAAACAGCTGGCCATGGACTCTAGGACAATTACTTCTATTCTCACGGGCTAGCCCTGTTCCATTGGACATGTTAGAGAATATTAAAACTTGCTTCTTTTAAAAACAGACTTTCTAAAACTAGAATTTCTAAAAGCAGAGAAAAATTCAGATGAATACAGTCTACCACGAATTCTGAACAGATTTCAATGACAGAGTAACAAGGGGCCCTTTCAAGTCCACTTCCTAGTCTCACCTATCAGGAAGCAAACTCTGAGAGCACGGAGATTTCATTTCTGGGTAATTCTGTGCTTCCCCTATTCCATTCGCAGCCTGCAGGCATCAGAGCTTGGTAGTGGGTCAGCCCTGGAACACGCTGGAGCTCAGCCTTGCTCTAAGTGCCAGCACCTCCAGGCCGGCTGCTTACATAGGCGTGACCCAGAGTCACCAGGCTATGATTTAGCCATGGCAGAAGGGAGTGGGTTGGACTTTGTATATTAAAATTCAGTGTTGAAATAAAGTATCTGGAAAGTCTCCACAGAGTAGATCTGTGTTTCCTATAGAATCAAGAGCAATCACCTATCCATGACTGCAGAAAAACCCAGCTAGTATTCCCCAGCACTGCGGACCACGATGGGCACAGGTCCTGCTGGCTTTTCCATTCTAGGCCAGGAGCACAGAGGAGCCAATGGCAGCATTTCAAAGAGAAATTTCTTCCCAAGACAGTGCTGGTTATATGGCTCTGTGACCAGCTTTAACCTGTTATTGAGTTTCTCCTCAAAGTGGAGGAAATAGAGGACCCAAACGTATAAAAACCTATAAAAACTCAATGAGTTGGTCTCCTTAAAAGGGGCCCTGACCTGAGCAAAACCACAATTGTACACATTTCACATTCCTCAGGTGGTTGGCCATAAACCAGCTCAACACCCAACAGCCTCTGTGTGGCTCTCCTAGGGATTCAGCAATTAAAAGACCAAAGCAGTAACAAACAGGCCAGGGACAGTGGGAATGGGACAGACACAGCAAGCTGGGGGGGGGGGGGGGTTGTGACTGAAGAATGTAAGCATTCCAGAAGACACAGCGCTCTGTGAGCAGGCTCCTCCCTTCCTTTTCCTTGGAACTCTCAAGTCTTAGCAGCTGCTGTTTCTTGCCTCAAACAAAACCACATCTATAGAAGACCCACCAGGAATGGACCAAGGCAGAACTAGTTTTGACTTCTGCTCACGTGTGGTCAGGCGCTGAAAGTCTCAACGTCATTTTAGTGCTGATACTCTTACGCTGCAAGGTGACATCAAGCTCATCCCCTGATGCAGTTAAAAAGTGGCTGAAATTAAGCTCAACATGTGCAACCTGACAGTGAAAGATGGGGGTCGGGGGGGAACAGGCCAAAGGAGGCAATTCTAAATGCTAAAAACATGGTCACAGCCCTTTCCACATTCTAGCAAACCTCCCAACTTCAACCCAATTGGGGAATGCAATAAACATAGAAAGGACAGACATCCCTACAACGCCGAGCCCAGGGTCTCCCTGTGTTCTTACAGCATCCTGGAGGAGTCAGTGAGCCTGGTGCAAGCACCGGGTGCTGCTGCCAAAGGTGGAGGAAGCAGTGGGGAAAACTCAACCATTACAGCCACTTCCACAGACCTTAACCTAGAATGTGCAAAAATGAGTCTTTCCTGTTTTGATAGTGACTCCTAAGAAAACATAATGTACTGTGAAGTGTACTCAAAACTCTCCATGCAGGCTAGGGACCCAAGGCCAAGCTGCAGCACATGTAAGCCAAGCCACAGAGCACAAGAGGCCAGTATGTGCAAGGTCAAACCTCCCCACCTGGCTCCTGAGGCATGGGAACCCTGGCTGAGAGGAAGGGAGGGCCATCACCAGAGATGGTGCAAGCAGGCTAGCTCAAAGAGGAAGACAATCTGCTCTCCAGGGAAAGCAGGAGGAGGAGACTGGCAAAGAGCTCGGGGCCTGGGCAGCTTTGGCACCAGTAAGAACACCATTAGCACAAAGCAAGGAAGCAATGGATGTGTGGCTGCACACAGATGGAAGCAGGGCTTTATCTCCAGGCAAGAAACTGTGAAGTAAAGGCAAATGGAAGTTAGCAAAGCAAGGCTAAGGATCCCCTTCTCCAACTGAATATGAAGTCAGAAATCACTCTGGGCTGATCATCAGCAGGACTAGATGGAAACTAAGTTCAAGTACCCAGACAGGGGGTATTATCTGAGAGCTAGATGTCACCTCATTATGCCAGACTTCGGCAGTCCTGGAACAAAGTACCACATGACGCTACACAATTGGGCCCCTGGGAATGAAGCTGCGTTCCCCGGATGGGCCTGCGTGGAGAAGTCTGTGCCATCCCTTAATATGGTGACAGTCATCTCAAAAGGCCACATCTTGATGCACCATAAAGAGCAAGAGCATGAGACAAGCTAGTTTAGCACCATTTATTTGTGATCTCAGCTGTTGTTGTAGCTGCTGTGTGTCAGCCTGTTCTCAAAGCATAGCATGCTCTTCCATTCCTCTTGTCCAGGACAGAAGGGTCTTCCAGGTGGCACGCCAACAGAACAAGAGACTCCGATGACGCCAGCTTCAATGACGGTGCCATCCAGAGTGAGAGGTCATGGCACATTCAATCGCGGCTTCCAGAGGTTTTGAAAAAGGAGCCTTTGGGGGCCCAGCCTGCCTGGCATTCTAGTGGAAGTGCAAAAGTGGCTCATTGGGAGAGGAAAGAGGGAGGAGCAAGGGAAAGTGGCATCTAGGTCTCAAGGAGGGCATTCTGGTCCTATGTCTGTAGGCCCGGAGTCCCAGAGGCAGAGCTCCAAGGAGAGCTGCACACAGCAGGCCAGTCTTTCTAGCAGACCATGGCCCAAGTCCACAGACTCTCCTAGGCACTGGCAGGACTCATGCCTGTTTTGGCAAGTGAGGATGAACTGTCTCAGGGTACTGGAGAGGGAGAACAGCAGAGAAGGGCAGTCGATGAAAACTGCTTTCTTCTCCTTCCTATCCAGGTGCAAAGCTGACCTTGGGGGCTGGTGGGGTGGGAGAACTGGGGAACCTTGAAAACAAGAGCCCTAGAAAAAGGCATAGATCTCTTCAGCTGGGACCAAACCTCGCAGGAGGGCAGACACTACTCCTATCTCAGAGCAGAGAGGAAGACAGATCTGCCTCAAGAAAAAGTGTTTCTATAGGACTGCTGAGGCAAGCAACCAGGGTCCGGGCTGTGAATGACTCAGGGGCTACAGAGTCACCATGGACTCACTTCCATGGAGTGCTCCCAGTTAAGAACTGGTGCTTTGCTGCTGCAAGCCCACTCCATCCACACTGCCTGTGAATGCATGGGAAAGAGATTCCCAAACGTTCTGCCTGCTGATGATCACAACCACTGGGCTTGCTATTTGAACAAGAATAGCATGATGATGACACTGTCGCTAATGATGATGGCAGCAATACTTGGACCTGCAAGAGCTTTGTCCTAAAGAACCTTGGTTACAGAGACTCAGTCTCCTATAGCCTTACTAAGTGTTACTCCCCATTTTACAGCGGGGAAAGTGAAGCAGTGGCAGAAACTCGCCAAAGGCGCATACTGACTTCAGGCCACAGGGGAGAATGAAACCTCAGAGCCCTGGCTCCAAACTGGCTGGTTCTCTCTCCACTTTTGAGACCATCTAGCAGCCACTCCGCACAATTTGGTCCTAGGACCTGAGACTATGTTACTTGATCACTGAAGTGATTCTTACTGTGGACCAAGTCCTTAGGAGACCACAGAGCCTCTTTCCCTGTAGCTTCCACCTTCCTTTCCCTTTCCTTTCTCCTTCCCTTCCTCCTCCGCAAATTACTTTCCTTCCTTTCTGACTTCAGCTCTACACACAGGAAATGGAGCCATCATTCTTGATGAGAAGTCAATTTTCCAGGACAAAGAAAACAAACTAAAGCTAATAGGTTAAACAGACATGCAGAAGTGGGGTGAGGGATGGGCAAGGAAGAGGACTTTATTGTTCAGTGAAATTATCTTAAAAACAGCCAGAAAAAAGAAAAGTGCTTTGTCTTTCATTTTCAGATAGTAGTTAGTACAGGAAAGACAAGCTGGCTAGAAATGCAGTGAGCCCAGGAAGATGACTGGGCTTCTGCAGAAGGCTCTGCTCCCCAGCACCTTGCAGTGTGGGCAGGCAGGGAGCCTTGCCAACAAGAACTGCAGCATGGCCAGAAGCCCTAGAGGGGGTTGGTCCGTCCCTTCTCCACAAGCCAGTCTCCTCTATGACCATCTGCCTCTGGGCCCAGCTATGGAACTACTTCTGCTAAGTTCAGGGACCTGTTCCCCCCAGCCCCCCCAACACGTACTTGATGCTGTCGGTGTGAGTTTTGTATTCCATAATGGTGTTGGGAGGTAGGTTAAGCACGCGCCGAAGTGTATCCCGGATTCGGGCTGTGGTTGCTTGATCGCTGGCAGTCTTATTCCATATGGAAATAATGTCCTCCTACAGGAGGAACAGAAGGTACTATCACAGCAAACCAGGGGCAGTTGAGGGGAGAGAGGGCAACAGAGCAAGCAGAATGGCCTAAGTGGCTTACCTGAAAGCGGACAGAGACCACAGCCCCACAGATCTCCTCCCCAACCATGAACTGTTCTCCTAGCATGGCCAGGATGAGATTCTCCCAGCAACGGGAGGCCAAGCCCTTCCGCAGCCGGATGATCCACTTGCCGCCATTTTTATTTGCATCATCCTATGAAAAGACAAAAGCATCCTAATTAAAATGTTGTTCCACGGCTTTTTCTTTTACATTAGAGCAGTTTAAAAAATTAAAAAATTGGGGCTGGGAAAGTGGCTCAGTGGTAGAGTGCTTGCTTTGCCTGCCTGAGGCCCTGGGTTCGATTCCTCAGCACCACATAAACAAAAAGAAAAAAGCTGGAAGTGGT